CACGGCAGTAGCTCGACTTGGTTTCAAACGTCGTGCTACCGCCGTACCGAACTCAATTCATAAATTATAAATACATTAGAATACATTTAAAAGTTTGCTAAACTGTTTCTTTGTTTTTGTGTTTTGTTCATCAACAGCCGTTCTATTCGACTGAATTAAATTCGACGTCTGAAACCAAGTCGTGCTAGTGTCGTGCTGCAGTTGAGCTACAGTCGAGTCAGCTTAGCACGGCAGTAGCACGACGTTTGAAACAGGCTTAAGCAGTGGATACGTCACGCTCTTATACCACCTTACCCCACTATGTCGAAAGTGGGAATTATGCAACAAAACGGATGGAATTAATACAACAAACAGAATGAAAACTCAGAAATGTAAAAAAATTACAGCAAGAAAAACAACCCTACATAATGATCTAAACTATGCTCGTATAATAATGATTCAGTAAACATACAAAACGCGCTAAACCTTTCATATGGCAGCATGCAAAACACTACGTCTAAGAGAAACCCCTGGTCACTGGGTTTTTAATTTTGAGGGGGTAGGAACGGTCGTAAGACGGGAATGAATATAAATGAGAACAACTCAAATATATATAGCCTACCGCTAATGAAGCAATACAACAGCATACCATGTAACACCCCAAAGAAAAGGTTACATAACCCATGATAAATACATTTATTAGTACAGGTAATAGCATTGTAGTCTGATTTGTAGTGATATTTGGCATAAATACTGGGAGTGATGTTTCGAAATTGTTACACTTAATTTCACGAGCCGTTAGGCGAGTGAAATTTGAGACAATTTTGAAAGATCACGAGTGGTATTTATGCCAAATATCACGTACAGATCATGCTATTATTTGTTTATACTACTACCCGCAAAAGGTTTGTAATTTTCACTTGTAGGTGTTTCAAATAAAGCTGAAATACCTTTGTTCTAAGCCAATCAAATTGCAGAAATTTCTCACGTAGTAGTATAAAAGATCAAATATTAGGATCTTCTTAACAAGGTAAGCCTTGCCGCTTAAGTTTCTCTCAGCTTAACTTTAACTCTAAAAAGTGACGTTTTTCAATGGTTCAAACCTATAACATAGCGCTGTTTATAGTACTATAGTATTTAGGGCGGATTTAGGGGCGTTTCTCCCCGGGGGGGGGGACTCCCTTATAAGGGCTTAATGGGGACGTACGGCCAGCCAGGGTATGTTTTTCGGGATTTTTGTCTTAAACAGGGTATCGAATTTATTACTTTTTGTCTTAATCAGGGTATCGATTTATCAATTTTTGTCTTAAACAGGATAAATGTAAAATAAATAAATGTAATGGGCGTTTCTCCTTCTTCTGTGAGAGTTTAGAATTGATTTTTAAGAATTCTCATTAAAAGAAATGGTAATTTTATAGCTTGCAGGTGCCCCGCATCCTCTTTCTGAATTTTATGACCAATGGGTGCGCTCCTGAATCTGTTAAATAAAATTTTTGCCTCTTTTTGTGCTATCAATGCCAACAGATTCTTTGTTTATTTTTTCATTCATAATTTCTTTTCTTTGTACTTTGCAATCATATCTGTCTTATGGCAATAAGGAGCGCTGATAGAGGCAGAGCTAGGGGCCATCAAGTCTTTATAGGCGGTCTGTGTTTTTTTCAAAATCATTGAAAAAGTTTCATACAAAAAATGATTGCACAAATGAATAAATACAATGACTAGGCTTAAGATTGTTATTTAAAGGTATGGATCCTTGAACGGATACGGGGACTAGGTAGATTAGAACAAGGACGCAAGTTTTTCTGTAGGGTCCAAGCAACGTAAAGGAAGTGAAATTTCGTGATACATGACGATGCAGGAGCGATTGGTAATCCGCTCCTGACGATGCAAATCAAAATTCTCAAAGTGACGTCATCGGTGGAACCACGTGACTTACGTCACGAACTAAAAAGAGCACAACAGCTGGAAGACTCCATAAAAAACGGGTCTATCCGTCTTCCTCAAAACTAGTATCTTTTAAACGCCAAATTTTCTGATTTAACAAAGACGCCATGTCGGCAAATCCAGGTTATTCAACAGGTAAAGAACAGCCGTACCCAACACAGCAACCGATGACACAGTATCCACCATCGCAGTTCGGCGGCTATCCTCCTCCGTCGAATCAAAACGCTTATCCACCGCCTGTTGAAACGGTACCAGCGTTAAATCCTGCCTTCCCTCCACCGCCGGCGTACGATGCTGCCGTGGGGAAGCCTGCAGGAGCGGTGCCTAGTCCATACGGTCCAAATTATCCTTACGGACCGCAGTATCAATCGCAACCTACGCCTCCTAGCTACACCACAAGTTCTGATGTCGAATACCAAGGAGCAGCGTTCCATGATCGGATCATTAGCTTCGACGACAAAACTATCAGGCTTGGTAGGTTGTTTTCATGCAGGTTGTCTTGATCTATCGGATTTACAAGTTATTGAATTTTTTAGATCTTATGGTTTCTTTTTCTGACTATTTCGTTATCATACGGTCGTGTTTTTAATGGGTTTGCATGCAAAATAAGCTTTTTATGTAGTCCTCCTGTCAAGGATAAAGTCTATGAAACTTAAATATGTATGTTAAGGCGTGAGATAAAATAAAAATGAACTTGAATTCGGTAATGCAGTAAGCCGACCTTTTATAACGTTAGAAATCAGCTGAATATTACCATATTTTCCAGCCGGATATTTTTCCTTTGTTTTTCTTGGTCATTATAATAATTTGTTATTATTGGATGACAGTTATTGATAATATCAAGAATTATGCAGATCAACTAGAGGGGGAGTTCCCCTGAGATCAGCACCCTCCTCGATCTGTGTTATTCTTCATATCATTAAACAAAACCCATATTTGTTTTACTATTCATTCATATTATTTCCAACCTTAACAAAAAATGCCAACCTTGGTCTATGTGAAGTTTCCGTCTTTATAACATTTTCTCATTCTTCAACAGTTTCTGGTTATAACAGGAAGTTTGTTCTAGCATATATTCTTCAAAGAGCAGCTGTCATCTGAAAAATCTTCTGCCATTTGCTCCAGCTCTATCAAAGTAGCTGAGCTACTGTGCCTTTTAGTTCTGCTGTCCCTTTATCTGTTTATAGAGTGATTTTACTAAATCCGTGAAACAAAATGTAACAATAAGCACTACATAGTAAAGAGTAAACAAAAGAAAGCAGTGAAATTAGAGTGTAATATTGGTTATTAGTCTACTATCTACTACACAGGTTAAGTAAAATCACTCTCTACATATTGTCCAACATTTGAACAACCATGACCATGAGTTAATGAGTTAGTATCTCCCTGTAAAATGCGTGTTTTGCCAGGATTGATATATTTAGTTGTTTGTGAAGAAATAAGTCTGGTGTGACAGTTTTCTGAGTTTCATTGTAACTGATCTAATTATGACTATTATTCTTTTCTTTTGCCTTTCTTCATTCACCCTGGTCACAGGATTTATAAGGCGGGTAAGAATGTTTCTGAATTGTTTGGTATTATAACCATCCTTCTATTGATTCAGTAAAATAACANTACACAGGTTAAGTAAAATCACTCTCTACATATTGTCCAACATTTGAACAACCATGACCATGAGTTAATGAGTTAGTATCTCCCTGTAAAATGCGTGTTTTGCCAGGATTGATATATTTAGTTGTTTGTGAAGAAATAAGTCTGGTGTGACAGTTTTCTGAGTTTCATTGTAACTGATCTAATTATGACTATTATTCTTTTTTTTGTCTTTCTTCATTCACCCTGGTCACAGGATTTATAAGGCGGGTAAGAATGTTTCTGAATTGTTTGGTATTATAACCATCCTTCTATTGATTCAGTAAAATAACAGACCTTCGCTTAACATTTAGTGCCTTTAAAGGGGCAATGTCACAGCAATGCCAACTACACGTCCTTGTTCACTATGGAACTGGAGAAATCACTTGTGAATGACAAAACCACATCTTTATGTCAAAGGAATATTAAATATTTTATTTTTCATTTTCTCCCAAGCATCATATCAAACCTTAACAAATGTTACAACCATTGAAGTGAGCTTTAAAAACTACTAAAACCTGCTAACAAGTTTTCAAAAACCAAAATTGCAATCGGTTTCAATCTTCATCAAGGTTATCCATTTGTGCCTCCTTTTGTGTTTCCTGTGTTATTTTAACCTTCTTCTAATGTTTTGAGAGGTTATTTTTATGTTTCACTCAATTTGAAGGCAGTTTCCCTGTTTGAATTTTGATACATTTCGTGACACAGCACCTGTGTTTATTGAGGACACCAACGGTGATCTAAGATCCTTCACTGCATGCCTAACACTTTCAATACCTTTTGTGGGAGAAAACCAAAAATGCAAGGGTGAAAGAAATAATTAATAGGCCATTTCCAAGTTCCAAAAACTCTCACTTTCAAAACGAGGCTAAGTGCAAACCATTCTTGTCAAAATGAGTTTTATTTGCATGAGAGTAAGAAAAATTAATGACTTTCTTATCGGTGGCTTTGCTATTAGCCTCTCTTTCAAGCAGAGGCTTAGCCAGGCAACTGAGAAATGCCCTACGAACTTTGGTTGACTCCCATGTGAAGGACCATTTCCTATTCTTATGGACTTAAGTTTTTATACCTTACAAAGTTAAAAGGAAAACGGTAAATGACAAGGTAAATATGTGTTGGTTGGGAGATTTTGTAGTTTGCTACATTCAGGAAAAAGTTAGTGAAAAGATAACTATTTTCAAGGTCAGGAAAAGTGTGAAATGTTAGTGAAGTGCTAAAAAAAGGTCATCCTCATGGGTTGTTGTGCATATAAAATAAATAATTGATTCGAGTGTATTTTAGTATTTTTCTTCTTCTTTATGTGAATATATAGGTGTTTGCTATCCTCATGTTGCAACTTTTGACCACTGTTGGAGCCATCTGCCTCTTTGTATTTCAGTAAGAATTGCACATAATCATGTATTTTTGTATATGAGTTTGTGTTAGTCCTTGTGCAGTTAAGACCAGTTACACTGGGCCATTTTTCTTGGAACTTGTGTCACAGTGTTATCTTGCTCTAATAAGACACAAGTTGCAAGTAAATTTTGCATTGTGTCCTCTGAATTAAAATAATGTGTCTGCACAAAAAAAGAAAAACAGTTGATAAAGATAGTTTCTTGGTGTTGCAGATGAATACAATCACCAAAATAACGTCACAAAAGATTGAAAAGAAGCTGAACATGTGTGGAGGTGCCCACACCACAACACAGTAGCTAATCTACAATAGTTTCCAATGTCAAGAGACACCCTAAATTAAGTTCTGTACTTCTGACGATGATGGCAGCAGTGCTGCAACAGATTTTTTTAGGCAATCCCTGCAATGCAAGAATGTGGCAGAAAGCATTACACATCACATGCCACTTGCACAACAAGTTCCAAAAAACTGGCTATTTATACGTGTAGATGTGAGCAATGGTTGCATGATAAAGAAGCTCTCTCGGAATATTGGAGCATCAGTTATAAAAAGAAGCAGGCCTACAATCATGGACAAAAGTCTTGAGACACTCTTGCATTTCTTAGGCGTTTTCCAATTCACACGTGCCCAACCCCTCACCTCACCCCACAAGAAATGTTGGACATGTGTAGTCAGAATTCTTTCTGAGTGTCAAATTTGCTGTATAGGGTGAGGGAATGGAGAACTGCAAGAAAATTTTGAAAAAGATGCATTGTTTTATAAGGGAACCCATAAATTACAGAAAATTATGAATAATGCTTTACTTTCCCAATGCAAGGACTTTAGTCCATGATTGTAGAACCTTTTAGAATGTTGAAATGTTAAATTTGTTAAAGCACTCAGTTTGATCAAAATTGTGTTCGCCAGATAATTTGTTGCTTACCTGAGGTATTTATTCGTTGTGAATAATATCTTATTAGACTATTACACCGTGAACAAATATGATTTTTCTCTAACATATTTTAGAGTTTAACTCCTTTTCCACATTTTCTTTACTGTTATGCAGTGAAGGAGTCAAAGATTATGTCCAGAATAACTGGGGAATGTATATTTCAGCCTAGTAAGTCTAACAATCGATTTGTCTGTTTTTGTCCTGTGCGTATGCATTTCCATTTTAGCTCTGGCCCCATTGACACAATGTTGACGAGAAAAATGTTCTTGATATGATGCTTTTTATAATGATGGTGATTATCATGTTGGTGTTGTTGNTCCCAATGCAAGGACTTTAGTCCATGATTGTAGAACCTTTTAGAATGTTGAAATGTTAAATTTGTTAAAGCACTCAGTTTGATCAAAATTGTGTTCGCCAGATAATTTGTTGCTTACCTGAGGTATTTATTCGTTGTGAATAATATCTTATTAGACTATTACACCGTGAACAAATATGATTTTTCTCTAACATATTTTAGAGTTTAACTCCTTTTCCACATTTTCTTTACTGTTATGCAGTGAAGGAGTCAAAGATTATGTCCAGAATAACTGGGGAATGTATATTTCAGCCTAGTAAGTCTAACAATCGATTTGTCTGTTTTTGTCCTGTGCGTATGCATTTCCATTTTAGCTCTGGCCCCATTGACACAATGTTGACGAGAAAAATGTTCTTGATATGATGCTTTTTATAATGATGGTGATTATCATGTTGGTGTTGTTGTAGCCGATGCCACGGACAAAACTTAAACTCCGCATAAGTCTGTCTGCGAAACAGTGACACAATCCTACTTCTGGGCCCCCCAGCTGTGTACCAAGATTGTAGTACTTGCCATGTGATATGATTGGCCTGTTGAAAAAGCCATGTCTCAATTGTCGATTTGCCAAGATGAATGGAAATTCAAAACATACTTCCGGTAATTCATTGAGTCAGTTGGGGGGAGAGAACAAGGATATTGGCGCTACATGTACTTCGCAGATGTTACTAGGCAAAGTTTATTTATGTCTGCAAGGCAGGCTAGTGTTGGTGCAGCGTGCAGAGAAAGTAGTCTCTGATAGCCCAGGGCTTGTGGATTTTGGGATTGGGCCAGTGAAGTTTTTTTTGGGGGGGGGGTTTCAAATTACAGAAGTACTGTAAGAAAATTGGTGAAATTCCTTATAAATCATGTGAATCAAACATGCAACATTGTTGCATTCTGTGCGGTGAGTTGAGTTGGGGTAAAGAGAAGCAGATCAGTCAGTTCCCTGCCCCCATCATGTCTTTAGCTGTTCATAGGTATGGCTGCAAAAGTTTTTTTGAAAAAAAAAATCAAGAATTCGCAATGACATTATGTTCTCACCATTTAAAATGTGTTCATTTTTCAGTGTTGTTTTCTTTGTGCTGTATATTGTGCTCCTCTGTGTTGAAAGTGTAAGGTAAGATTAATATTATTTTATTATCTAAACTTGCTTGCTGCATGTGTTGAATTCTTTGTGGTTTACATTACTAGTCTTGTGGATGAGGTTGACTGCAAAGGTTTGACATTAATTGTTGCCTAAGTTACCATAGCAACTGAAAGTACAGCCAGTTGAAAACACCCTTGATTTTTAATAGTTAGCTTTAAGTGCCTATAATTCAAAATGAGTTTTGTTTAGTGAGCCCCATTTTGCTATTACATAACAAGGATAGTGATGATGATAATAATACCATCAACTTACGTGATACAACTCACTTTGACTCTGAAGATGACTACCGCACAGGTTGTCAAAACGTCAGTCACTGCAGTCAACAAAAACAGTCCTATTCAGGACTATCTTTACCCGGACGATCAAACTCAACCTACTTTTGAAATAATAATAACAATAATAATAGTATTAAGAACCTTCGTCAAACCTTCGCCAACAATATTTTTTTTGTGTTTGCATGTCTGAATAAATCCAATTTTGATATATGATTTGGCTTTGAGGCAAAGAGATGAATTTTTCTTTGTTTTCCCCCAAGTGACAAAGCTAAGAAAGATTTTTAACATACTGAAATTGGTTTATTTACCTTAAGCTACATGTAGAATGGTCATTTACAGACATGGTACATGCATGCATCTTCATGCCTGACTTTTCAGCTATTGTGACTCTGAAGCAGGCTACAGATGGTGAAAGTTTCTGGATGTCTCGGGCAGCCAGCCACCACAAATCATTGTAAACATGCTATAGGATACACGTACTCCCTAAACTTATCATTACATCTACGAAAATATTTTATCTTACAATATTTATTTATTGTTAAATTCTTTTTTTCAGGAGGAGCTATCCTGCCAATGTTATCATGCTTACTTTATTTGTAAGTATGAAAACTGATAACTACTAACACTTAGAACCTGCAGCACATTACCTTGTGTACACCCAAGGGGAGGTACTTTAGAAAATAATGTTTGTGTAGGGATGTGCTGCTGGGACCCCAGAATCCTTAGCCTTTACCAGACTTAATTTGGCTGAATTTTGTTACCCTAGACTAGACTAAACTCCTTAAAGTTTGCCTGAATTTCGCTACTTTAGACTACACTAAACTCCCCAAAACTCTCCCTATCCTAACAATTTTCCAGAAATTACTGAGTTAGACACTTTCTTATTAATTTTAGATTTGCCAATTTTATTTGGTTTTCCCAGTCTAGACTCAAATCTTCAACAAATTGATCAGTTTCCTGAAAAATTAAATGATTCCCTCTTCCTGACTCCTACATGTATTCCTGCCATGCTTTTTATCATTATAAAACAGAGGACTTACTATAAAACTATCTAGGGTATAGTAGAGCACGTTGTTATTGTTGCAAAACATCACAGGATTCTGTTAGTGCATATCATAGTGAATTAATGATTCCATGCTCTTTAGTTAACTGGCATTTTTTTATTTTTAACTAGACTATTTCTTTGTCGTACCTTGTGGGAGTGATTTCAAGGTAGGTGTTAGACATTTTGAGATGCCCATAAAGATTTGCTCATTCCCATGTCTTTGCCTGTTTTCCTTGTTTCGCGTGGAGGGTTCTATCTAGGGTATTTGAGGGGTAGAACAGATTCCCCCAAAATGCCCAGCTTCCTCCCCAAATATATTGTTATCATTATAGTATATAAGTAACTATATTGGAAAAATCATCCAGATGTGACAAGGTCAGTGCACATGAAGTAAGTATTCCCTGTCTAAGGACACTATATGACAAGGAACTAAAAAAATAAAATAAAATACCACCGTAACATTTCTCAAAATTGTGTCTCCAAATGCACTAGATTGCATCACAGGGCATATTCATTTAAAAAATTTCCCGGGGGACATGCCCCCCCCAGATGCCGCTAGGAAGTTTGTGGCCTTCGGCCACTTGGTACTTCTCCCCCAAACAATAAATCCTAGATAGAACCCTGGCATGGTTGACTTTAAGGTGGTCAGGAGTTGTTCCATGGAAGAATCTTTGAGTTTTTCCTCTCTCACTCATCATGATGGGTTCTTTTTTCGAATGTCAGGGAAATGTTTAGCCTGAGAAAACAGCCGGCATTTTACGATGCTGTCACTGGTTTCCCCGCCAAGTGACATCTAAGAAACAAGTGCAGAAATTCCATACTGATGACGCATCAGTACCCAGATCTGGGTAGTGCTTCTGATTGGTTGTGCCGCATGGGAAATTTGATTCAACCAATCGGAAATACTATCCAGATCTGGGTCATGATGTGTCATCAGTATGGAATTTCTGTGCTTGTTTCTCAGACGTCATTTGGCAGGGAGGCCAGTGGCAGCGTCACCAAATGGCGGCTGTTTTCTCAGGCTAGGAAATGTTAAATTTTATGGGTCACCAAAAAGTTTAGGTATCATAAAGTACTGCCAATAATAGATTGGTTTTGTTTGAATAGTCATACAGTAGGATTTTGTCCAGAGGCTTAAAATGAAGAAACAGCTACCTCTTTACTCGTTCCTACCAGACATACATGTAACACTGTCACTCAAGGTATAACTTTTGTACCACAAACATTAACAATATCCTTCTTCTTCTTCTGTTTCAGCTTTCATTCGACAAACATAGTCTTGATCATGATGGGTGTTACCACAGTAAGTACCAGGGGGTGCAACAGTTGTATTATGCCTAACACCAGACCTTATTTATTACTAAGACTGCTAACGTCTAGTGTTAGAGGCTTTGTTAGGGTAAAATTCGTACAAGCAATGTGACTTTGACACAGCAGTTGAAAATATGACAGTGAGACCAAGTGTAGTAAACTAAAGACAGGGGTATGGCTTCCTATCCAATGATATGGGTAACAATGGGTTTTAAAATTCAGACTAGGGACTTATGTACCCCTTTTCTTTCTATTATGAAAAATAACTCTTGAAGAAAATCAAAGCTAAAGTGTTCAAAAATTGATGGTAATAATTACTATAATTATTATTAAGACTCTATATCCGAAACCACCATCACAGAAGTGATTCCCTTTGTTTTCTCTTCATCAATTATAGTAATGTGGTTGAGAAGTTTAGTTCAAGTTTGTGTTCAGACTATTCACTATCTCTGTTGCAATTTTTTTTCAGCTTGTGTGTGCATCTGTGATGATCTTTGCCTGTCAGACCAAGGTAAATTTTATTTCTTCCATCCAAAACTTTGTAAACTCAAAAATCTAGTGTAATGCTGATATGACCTCTAGCAAGAATATTCACTTTTTGAAAAAAATTAATAACCAGTTTTGAAAAAAAAATTCCAGACTTCTTTTAGGTCTGGAAAACTATTTTGCAAATTTAAAGAATTTTTCAAGAGTTCAAGACCTTATACCAACCCTGGCTGATTATGTGATGTTAATTTGTTTCATTCACATCTGAAAATCTTACCTCAGGAGTGACTGAAGGTAGGATATTTTTTGTTTACCATTTATGTGGGAAAACCAGAGTCCCATTTACTATTTGAAAAATCAGTTCCTGTTTCCTAAAAATGGCTGCAAAGGCATGAAACTGGTAACACAGATGGCTAGAAGAAAACTGGAGCACAAATTTCCATTTGAAACATTCCATCTGGAAAAACAGGACTTACCTTCTCAGATGTTCTAGTGTTCCTGGAAATTTTCCACTAAAACAAACAAAATGTTGTATTCCATTGGGTTCCAAGTGAATACTCTGGAAGTTTTGTAAATGGTAAACAACCATTGCCTCTGTTTACTTTTAAGCTGCATTACCTCTAATCTCACTGTCTCTTATCTAAATGTCAACTTTACAGTATGATTTTACGACATGGGGAGGAGTGTTGTTCTGCGCAGCTCTGGCAATCTTTTTCCTCAGCATCTTCACACCAATGTGGTTGGCTCTCAACACAACGGTAGGTCATCATTTCTTTTCAGTTTACTCTACAAACAAGTATAAACTTTTAGGTCCCAAGAGTGACCAACATCAATTTTCTCCTAACAACATAGGCAGATCATCAAGAGTAAAGGTTATGAGAATTAATAAACTGATTACCAAAGGGTGAACACTTTGATCTTAAATCAGATTCTCTCAACTATTCTTAGAAGAAGTGTATGGAGATCAGTTTGGAGAATTTGTTTGTGGATCTTGGGACTTAAAGGGATAAAGGACAGTAATCTGGGTGTGGCTCAGGCTTTGTTTGAGCTTTCATGGGGCCTTATAACTGCAGCCAGTGCATGTGTGGTTTCTCAAAGATACGAAGTTGAAAATTGTTACCTATAGATTAGCTTTTGTTTAGAAAATAGAAGTAATAATCAATGCTTATACTGCACTGTGTAACAACAGTTCCTGAAAACTTACTCTACATTTTTATCATAACAGGCTGGAAAGATTATCATTGGAGGTTTACTTGCCTTGGTTTTTGTTGCAGTAAGTAAAAACTGTGAAGTTCACTTTTCGTTCATGTTTCTTTTTTTGTCTTTGACTTGGACACTTGTAATGCATTATTATATTTCATTACCTTTGACATTAAATTTTTTGTGTTGAAATGCATTTTTTTTTTTTTACAGTTTGGGGGCAAATCTCATTACATCTTGTGTCGTAAATTATTTTCTATTTATGGGTAATGAGAAGGTGCATGAATCTGTCATATCGGCAAAAGAAAGTACTAAAAAAGTTAAAATTGACAGGTTAATGCATTTAAAAAAGTTTTGTATTCCCACCCTCTGGCACTTCCTTTTTGAAAACTGTCAATTTCTTCAGTCTTTTCATGACACCATTTTGCAAAGGAAGGACTTCTATCACAAGCCTTAACTTAAAGGAAAAAAATAAAAAGTCAAACTCTTTCTATACCTTCCTCTCATCCAAAATTTAAACTTTTGCTTTATTTTGGCACCAGGAAGGGAAGTACATATGTAAGCTAGTTTTCAAATAAATATTGAAAGTTTCAAATTTTGATTAGTTTTCATTGGTTCTTTTTACCTAAATGGTAAACACAAAAAATAGTTTTAAAAGCTTTAAATGTTCTTTGGCAAAACGTCCATAGACAAATGGCTTAGGAAAGCATTCAGAGACTAGATCATGACTGCTTTGTTTGTCCCTATCACTTTTATAGTTCCTGGCTTATGATGTCCAGCTTGTCATGGGAGGACGAAAGTATGAGCTGAGTCCAGAGGAGTACATCTTTGCCTCTCTTATACTCTACATGGATATCATTAAAATCTTCCTTTTACTTCTTGCCATTTTTGGCCGTGGTAGCAACTGAGCAGTGTCATCAGCAGTATATTATCCTGTTGTCAATATGTAACTTCTTACTGGTGTAGCACTTAAAAATTTTGTAAGCAGAATGTTATGTTGTTGCAGTATTGAAGTGTAAATTGAAGTAATATTAGCCTAGTTAGTAAGGTGACTGTTGGTAGATCAAATGCTTACAGTGGGCAACTTTATTTATTAACATTAGAAGAAGAAGAAGTGATAACTGCTTTGTGTGTACATGGATTTCATAAGATAAAGCAAGTTCAGAAACTTGTCTTGCATGCTAATTCTGTGTGGAGAATTTAACTGATGATTACTGCTATTACTTTGAGTGATTGTTTAGTTTATTACATCCACTTTGAAATCACTGGCTATCCATGCAATCTGATTGGCACTCAGCGGTGTGATTTATTCCTAAATCGCACCATTTTTTGCTCTAAATCGCATCTTTTCCAAATCGCGTCATTCATGTTCTAAATTGCATCATTTCTGTTTTAAATTGCACTATTTTTGTTCTATATCGCATCATTTCTGTTTGGAATACGAAATGAGAGGTAAAAGCCTTTTTGTTTCCGCTTTTTAACAAACCGGCTACTTCATCAATAAAATATTAGTACTGACTAAATTCTGCGATTTCAAAATGGAAGTAATAAAGTGGTAATTGAACTGAGTGGAGTGCAATTTTGGTCTGAAATCATACTTGTGATTTCAAATCGAACTCGCGCTGCGCGCTCGTTCGATTTTGAAATCACGCGTATGATTTCAGACCAAATTGCACTCGACTCAGTTCAATTACCATTATTAATCATACAAGTGATTAACAAAATCGAACGACCACGTGGCGGGAGTCCGATTTGTTTTATCACGTGTGATTATAGACTGAATTGAATGACACCAAGTTCTGTTACTAATTAATCATAACTATAACAAAACTTTTTAAATTTTAGGCTTTTTTTCTAATTAGAACACAAATTCTGAGAGTTTTTTTTGCTAGCAGTGAAAGAAAGCTGTTTAAGTGTACGTGTGGAATGGCACTGTCCAATTACAGGCATGGCGCATCCTGTCCTATCACACTGTCCCATTAATGCTAAAATCAGGACAGTTGATAGCCAATCAGATTTGAGAATCTTGTCATAGTTATGATTAACATCAGAATCTATGAGTTGGACTTTACCTTCTGAGGAGAGGACAAGCATCAGCTTGCCCAAAAAAGGGCAGTGTATTAATTCCAATTACAGTACTAACAAAGAGATTGTAATAGCTTGCATAATATTTAATGAAAAACATCATATTAAAGACTAGAAATATTATTATGCAATTTAAAGACCCAGGTTATTGGACAGGACTTCAGTTGTGCCTTTTCATAGTTGAGTGGGTTCATGTAGTTTATAGTACAATCATTTAGATGGCTTGCATAGTTGTGTTTTTTATTGAAGGACCTGTCCGTGTAACTAATAATGGCATCAGATTTTGACATACATAGGTGCACAATGCTCCCGTAAAAATGTTGTGGTAGTCTATAACGTGTGTTTACAGTTTTAACCCTTTAAGTCCCAATAGTGACCAACAACAATTTTCTCCTAACAATATCCATACACTGTCAAGAGATAAAGTTCTGCGAATTAATAAAATGATCATCTTAGAGAAAATTCCATGACCTTTTATCAAATTCTCTCAACTAATTCTTAAAGGAAATGTATGGAGATCAGTTTGGAGAATTTGTGTGTGGATATTGGGGCTTAAAGGGTTAATACTTTCATTCCAAACAGTGCACCAATTCTCTTTTTTCACTTTTATGCCATCAAAAATAGAAATCGAAACCATTCAATACAGAAAGTCCAGAATCTGGGAAATGAAAGGGGATAAATATGTAAAAGGCCTCGCCAAGGATCATGTCGGTGCAATACTTCATATGCGAGATACTCTGAAAAATGTTTTAACCCAATTAATAAAGCTTTGTATGGAGAGGCCATCTAAATGCCGCATCACGCAAAAGCTTGGAAATTCAAGCATCCTCTATTAACAAAACGGAGAACCTTTTAGAATGGAAATTTTGAATAAATAAAAGTGTTTAGCTGCTGTTAAGAAAGTAAACACTCAGAAGAATGGATAATTCCTTTAGTTTGAATTTTGGTGACATCATGTGAAAACTGAGAGTATCAAAATGGAAAAGGTCCCCAAAGTCATTAATAATATTAATAATAATATTTATTTATTAATGAAATTGGGGATTTTTACCTTGTTAAAGGACTTTTGACAAGGTTTCAAATGGTCACACTTAAGGATTTGGTGCACATAAAGTACATGGAAGTAGAAAGGTTAAAACGGCCTGTGTGAAAAGTTGTATTTAAGTGTTTTGTTTCAAATATAACTCCTATTCATACCTGACCAAGATACCGGTGGTAACAAAATCTTGGCAAAATGTAGAAGTAATTCATACTTAATGCCAGTTGTTTTATTAATTTACCAGATTTTATATTGTTTTGTATAGTAACAGTCCCCAGCTTTAGAAGCTGATATTAGAAGACAGACCAGAAGGGTAGACAGTTCATAATTCCTTATTTTTCTGTAAGAGCATCAAGATCGAGCATCATCACTGACAGCCATTTTGTAATATTGGTAACGGAAAAATAGCGAACTGTGTCTGCAAAAAGAGTTGTAGGAAGTGACATGCATGGATGTAGAATTATAGTGCGACTGGGATAACCGTGAAAACTTGAAATATTTCAAGAATGTTTATTGTGTCAGACAATCACAGCAAAGATCAGGACATGTGCACAAGCCACAAAACCACAAACTAATTAACATTCTTGCTTGCGGTTTAGTTTTCTCATGCCTGATTGCCTTTTTTATTGCAACAAAATAACATTCCAGAAATCTTTCTGGTGTTCCAGTTTTCCCTGTTTGATGGTAAATGAGCAACAAAATAATAATATTGCTGTGAAACTCACAAAACCGTTAACACCAGAAATATTTATGGAATGTTATTGTTGCAAGAAATAAGCCAATAAGGCCTAAGATAACTAAACCGCAAACAGCAATGGTAAGTTTGTGGTTTTGAGGATTGCTTGCATATCCTGAACTTTATTGTTATTGGCCAGTACACAATCACAATCCTGAAATTTTTCAGATGTTCACGGTTTTCTGAGTTTGACAGTAATAGCTCTCCGTGGAGGGCAAAGAGCAATAAATTAATACTAATACATAACAGTAATGCGTTTGAAGTTGTACTGTCAAATGTCCTAAATAAAATATCTCCATAACATGTTATACAGCAAATTGTTGGTTAATTTAGTTTGCCATGTTCCGTTTTTTTTTTTTTTTAGGGGGGTCCCTTTTCCTTTTTATTTGTTAAATTTTTTTATAATAAATGGGAAATGTTTCTTCTATGGGGTTAAAACAAAAAAA